TCACCCTCCTGTGTCCTCCAGTGTGGACTCACCCTCCTGTCCTCCAGTGTGGACTCACCCTCCTGTCCTCCAGTGTGGACCCACCCTCCTGTCCTCCAGTGTGGATTCACCCTCCTGTGTCCTCCAGTGTGGACCCACCCTCCTGTCCTCCAGTGTGGACTCACCCTCCTGTGTCCTCCAGTGTGGACTCACCCTCCTGTCCTCCAGTGTGGACTCACCCTCCTGTGTCCTCCAGTGTGGATTCACCCTCCTGTGTCCTCCAGTGTGGACTCACCCTCCTGTCCTCCAGTGTGGACCCACCCTCCTGTCCTCCAGTGTGGACTCACCCTCCTGTCCTCCAGTGTGGACTCACTCCTCCTGTGTAGACCTGGCCCTCCTGTGCTCCCAGGGCAGACCCTTGATCCTGTTTCTCTTTATCAGCTCTTCCCTGTGCTCTTTACTCTGCTTTTTCCCCTCCCCTTGCAAGTGTGTTCTCATTTCTGCTCCTTCCCATACCTATCTTTAGCAAGAGGACTCCCTTCCATTCTGCTAGACCCCAAAACGCCCTCTGGTCACCCTCATTATTAAAATAAAATCAGAAAACCTTTTTGGCCACACAGTCTTCTAGCAGAACTTCAAGGTAGCTGTCTGCCCTTTGCTTTTCAAAATGTTTGCCATCTCTCTTTACAGTTTGGGAGACTATAAAAGTGTTCATACTAACATGGACATCAGCTATGCATTGAATGTGTTTAGCCAATTTTTTTTTTTTTGATGGCAAAATCCCCTCAGGGAAGGAATCAGCATGCTCAATTATATTCCGAAATATAATATTAATTAGACAAGTAAGAAAAAGTTTGGGACATCAGCAGCCACATGCAACTGTTGGTCTCAACCCATCTCATGCCTACTGAAATCCTCCACAGCAGACACAGTGCAGTGACTAATGGGCACAGCTTATATCTGTCTCAGTGGTCTTCTCAGCAGTGACCTTGGCTTTCCTGAGCCCTGTGATGAGCATTCTCTTCAGTTTCTTTTTCTCTTCTCCATATCTACTGACCCACAGCTTCCAGGGTGCAGGTGTGTGAGCAAGGATCGGTCCCAGGTCCTCTTCTCTGTCTTCTATGCTGTAGTGACCTCCCCTAGTCCCAGTGAAGATCTGTGGGCAGACTCAGTTCCAGACTCTCAGCTGTCTCGTGGATATTTCCACAGAAACACCCAGTGGGCATCCTTACACATGGGCAGGTGTGAACAGAGCTGTAATATCTTCCTAGGATCTGTTCTTCCAAAGACTGGGCCTTCCTCTGGTCAGTTCTCTCATGATAATGTCACTAGCCAGCTGGTGGTCCACCCAGTGTCTCCAGACCATGGGGTCCTCCTCATTGTCTCTGCCAGGTCCTCACCGGCCACATCTGATATGCCAATAAGGCCTAGCCATTGGACTTCTGGCAAGCAAATGCAGCCTATTCCTCGTGTTGACTGCCCCACATCCACGAACCCACTGTTAGGATCCTGCTCTCACATAATATATCGCGATTATGGTTTCCCTCTATCTAATCCTCCCAGATCCTCGCTACTTCTCCCATCCAGGTCCACCCATTTTCTATCTTTCATTAGAAATAAACAGGCTTCTAAAAAATGATTATAATATCAAAAACTAACACATAAGAATAAGACAAAACAAACAAATGAAAGGAAAAGATGTGAAGAAACAGATATAGATGCAGAAAAATATTTGTTTGCACACTCAGGAATCCCGTAAAAATACTAAACTGAAAGCCGTAATATATACACAAAGGACCTATAGGGTTAAGAAGAGAGAAAAATATATAAATAAAAAAGTGATGAAAACTTAAAGCCCTAGACACGTTAAGAGACAAGAAACAAAGGTGCCGTTGAATTTGTTTTCTGCTGGCCATCTACTGCTGGAATGCAGCCTACATGCTTAAGAGTAGTTTGTCTCTCCAGTGAGATTCCCTTGAAGAAACCAACTTCATTTTAAAGGGATTATCAATTTGAGATAACTTCTGGGTTAGGGATGGTGGCATGTATTCACTTTTCCTTTCCGCTCTAGGACCCCAGTCTGGTATGGTGGGTATCGAGCTGTGCACATACAGAATCCTGACACCCACCACCGACTAGAGCATTCCCCTTTTGCTTCCCCTGGGACACAGTGCCTCCCTATGAGTGCTGAGTTGTTTTATTTTGCCAACTTGCCACAATTAAGGTCAATCAGTCTCTTCAGGCAGTTCAGCTCCTCTGGGTCTCCCCAGAAGTCCTTACTGCTTATAGCGCCTTGGAATATAGCCTTGTGCATCTGGTCGGTTTGGGGGACTTCCTGACCAAGTCTTCATGGATCTCCCTTAGAACTTCCTGAGTCTTAAGGAGCTTCCCTGTAGTTGGAGTTTTCTCCAGTCCTGCCTGGCCCACGGTCAGAACAAATCTCTCTCACCCACCAGTCCCGCAGCCACTTAGACCCAACCAAGTAAACACGCAGAGACTTATATTGCTTACAAACTGTACGGCCGTGGCAGGCTTCTTGTTATCTAATTCTTATATCTTAAATTAACCCATATCTATTAGTCTCTAAGTTGCCATGTGGCTTGTGGCTTACTGGTACCTTACATCTCACTTTTCATGGCGGCGGCTGGCAGTATCTCTCAGCCTCAGCCTTCCACTTCCCAGAATTCTCCTCTCCTTGTCCCGCCTATACTTCCTGCCTGGCTATTGGCCAATCAGTGTTTTATTTATTAACCAATCAGAGCAACACATTTAACATGCAGACATGCAGGACATCCCACAGCACTTCCCTGGGGGGGGCGGGGGGATGTTTGCTGCACAGAAGGATCCAGAGCAAGAGCAGGGTGTCCTTATCTGCTGCTCTCCTCCTGCCTTGAGCCAGTGTCTCTCACCAATCCAGGAGCTTACTGTTTGACTACGCTGCCTGTCTCTTTTCCCCAGTGCTGGGGATGCGGCATGTGTAGCCATTCCCGGCCTGACACGTGGGGTACTGGGGACCTGAACACAAGTCCTCACCTATGTGGTGTTATCACTCACCCCCTGAGCCATCTCCCCGGCTCTAAGATTTCCTGTATTTCCTTTGTTCCGTTCCTCCCTGATCACAGTTGTTCTCCTTACAGAGGTCCCTGCCTGGACAGAGGATTGCGGCCCTCCCTCGAGACCTCTCTGGACGTATCTTCCCAGCATCCTCCAGCAAAGATGCGTCAGCTTAAGGGGAAGCCAAAGAAGGAGACGTCCAAGGACAAGAAGGAGCGCAAGCAGGCCATGCAGGAGGCCCGGCAGCAGATCACCACGGTGGTGCTGCCCACCGTGGCTGTGGTGGTGCTCCTGATCGTAGTGTTTGTGTACGTGGCCACGCGCCCGGCCGTCACCGAGTGAGCACCTCCCTTCCAGCTCTCCTCTAGAGATGTCTACAGTGCCGAGCTCCAAGCAGGAGTGCCCTGTCTTCTCTGGTCTTTGACTTGACTAAAATTTCTCTACTTGTTTGGGGGAGGGAATAGGGAACATTTTATCAGTGAATGTGCCATACACCTGATGGTCCACTTCATGTGCCTTTCAGACTTCAAAGCCGAGTGTGTGTGTGTGTGTGTGTGTGTGTGTGCGTGTGCGTGTGCGTGCGTGCATGTGTGTGCGTGTGTTTCTTTCCCCCTGAAATCGATGCAGAGCTGCACCCGGGGAGTGGAGGACTCTCTGGGTGAGGCTGTTGGAATCAGCACCGCCCTCCCATTCCTGCAACATGCTTTCCTGCTCCCATTCACAACTACAGGGGACAGCATTTCTTCTCTGTGCTTGATGGGATTTGAAATATGTTAACTCAAAGTGAAATATTTATTTTTTGAATAAAGGAGATAATAGTCTTAAACTGGGTATTTATCTAGTTGTGTCCCTTGCTCGGGCCTTGTCTCTTTCCCCTTGCCTGGGGCTGTTTCCACCTCCCCCTTCACTTGCTCCTCTTCTACACTTGCAGGAAAATGATGTCTTTTGACTGGGTCTTTGTAAGCCTGAGAAGGAAGTCTAGAGACTAGGGGCAAAGTGAGTGCTAACTGACCTCTTTAGCAAAGTGAGAGTTCTCCTTGGCATATGACCACACACACTTTCTGGCTGGTTAGCATTTCCTGCTGGATGCTATATTTGCAAATGGCAACACACCCTAATTCTGAGTGGTAAAAGGTCAGGCTAGCTTTTGTTCTTAGCTGATGGATGCAGGCTCTTGGCATTCCAACCGAGTTTTAAATGCAAATTGGCTGAGCCTCATTTTATTCCAGCAGCGGGCTTCCCAGGTCCTGGTGCCTGATGGAGCTGCCTCTTTGGAAGTCAGATCCCTGGTAACTGTTCCACGGGTGTCTCTTGGCTGATTACAGAGAGATTTGCAAGGAGGGAAGGGCTTTCCTACTATCAGTGGCTAATGACGAGCTGACAGCACAGATGTTACTGGATATTTGGAGACTACTGGAGGGAGCCTTTCCAGGAGAGAAAATGAAAGACTCCAGCTGAGATCTGGACGTGCCTATGTGGGTGAGGGGCTTGATGCCACCCCCTGCCCCAAGTGTCAGTGGCCCTGTGTAGAGATTTGCTTCAACAGTCGTCAGGTGTGAGGTTGGCAGAGTGTGTGACTAAAAGCTCTCAAGTGGGGGGAACTAGGGTTCTGTTTTGAGCCTCAGTGCCTGGCCCCAAGGCCCTGCTCAACCAGGAGTGGGAGGGAGGTCCTGTAGCCATTTCCTGTTTTCCACGGTGACACCAAGCTGCTGGCTGTCCCCTCCTCCTGTTTAATCCCAATAAAACCACTGTAATGAATGATAAGCGGTGCTGGTGGCGGCACTGGCTTCCTCGTGGAAAGGTCATGCGCCACGGCCACGACTACCTGGTTACAGAGAGCTTTATTAGGAGGAGGGGGCGGGGTACAAGAGAACCAGGCCTGGGAAGGAGCACTCGCAGAGAACAGAGGGAAAGATGGTGGGGTCGGGGGAGAGCAGAGCAGAGAGGGTGGGGTCTGTATCCGGCTTTTTAAGGGCTCCCCGTGAAGCGGGCTTACGGTGCTACATCATACATGCGCTGACTGCATGACCAGGCCATGTGCATGTAGTTGCCAGCGCACACTGATGAGGTAACATGCAAGACCCTGAACTGTGCATGTGTAGCTGGAGTAAGGGCAGAGTTCTAACAACCACTACCACAATTAGAGCTGAATTTGAATCAACCTTGATTTTGTATTGGGGTGCACTCAAGAGCCGGCCAGCGACTGCCTCCTAAGTTGGGTTTAAGAAAGCAGTCCTGAATCCATCTCTTGGACCCCTTTAAAGAGTAAAATTATGAATAGTTTTACAGAAGGGAGAAAATGGGGGGCAATAAGGAAATTAAAAAACAAAACACTTAAATCATGTGATCACCCACCATGTGATTAGGAGGGGTCATGGAGGGTCAGGGTATTCTCAAAAACAAATCAAGGTCCTGGGTTGGGGAAGGTCAGGTTCCAGGAAACAGAGAGCAACTCAACTCTCCTGGTAAATAGAAACTTATTTTTAAAAATACAGCGTAAGGGCTCCTGCCTTTAAAATGGAGTCAGGCAGGTTCTTCGCTCCTAGAGTAGATGTCTTGAAGACATTGCTAACATTCTGAACTGCCCCTTGGGGCCGGCCGCCCAGCTTCCTGACATCATTTTATGTAAAAGCCCTCTGTAAGAAAAAACTTCTCCCCTCCTTTTTCTTCTTCCTCTTTTCCCTCTTCATGAGGCTTTGTGCACCTCCCTTCCCTTCTCTCCTTTCCTCTCTTTCCTTTCCTCTTTCTCTCCATTCTCCCTCCCCCCTTAAACTTTCCACGTGGGGCCGTGTCTGCATGGTGTGAGTGTGTGTCCCTCACCCACTGGGGCACCCTGACCCAGCCACCAAGCCCTGCCCTGCATGGTTTCACAACATTAACGGACATGGCCAGAGCAGCCTTCCCACCAGAAGAACAAGGCCTGCCTGGCCTGGTGGCCTGGTCTGCATTTAGTCCTTAGCCATCTACAGGGCTGTGTGAGCACACTGTGCCTTGGTTTCTCTGTGAGCAGTTGCTAGAACATTCTAGGGAGATGAAACATCTAGTGGAAAGCGAGGTTTTAGGGTGGACCTGAGTTCTCACGCCAGCTGTGCTGCTGGAGCCTGAGTCATGGCCTGTGGGGACAGTGATAGTGGTGGTCACCCTGTCTCAGGGTGGGTGTGATGATTGAATGACAGTAGTGTTAATGACAGCCTCATAAATCACAGCACCCCCACCTCACTTGTACTAACACATTTTCTTTTCACACAGTTATCTGATGTAAGTGCTCATCTTTATCAAAGAGGCTAGGTGGTCGGGAAACCA